AAGTTGCAAGCTTTAACTTATAATTTCCATTAGGCGATCAGCTTATTTACAAATAATTAGTTTTTAACTTAGTTTATTATGAAACAGGCCCCTGATATGAAAAAATTAATATTTATGACGAGAAAACCAAAACATGACATCATGGATTCTTACCTTAACCCCATAAGGATAACTTACTTGTAAAATTGACTGACGGACATATCACCACTTTTATCGCTCATATTTGGCATTAAAAAAACTCTATGAAATATACCTACCTACTATTTAACTTTTAAAAATCCCTCCTATTAGTAATAAGAGCAATTTGGAATGATTCTAACATTAAAATCGTCGGTTAACTTAGGCCTACTAAAACCAAAACATCAGAAACCTAAGTTAAGGACAGACAGCAAAGGTGATGACATCAAACTTTGAACATAAGTTTGCTTCACAAGTTAACAAAGAGTAAAAACATATCAAACTAGACATTGCATTCAAGCTTTTTCTGCTCTTTCCGTAGACTACAAATGCAATCCAGTTCAGTACAACTGGAGTTCATTCGGAACGAGTTTGTGAAGCGTCTGCAACATCTTCGGAATTCAGACGATTGACGCTCGGAGGATTAAGGACCTAATTTTAACTTAACTTAAGAACAAGATTAATCAATAAAGCCTAAAGTAACTTAGGCCTAAGCATAGCTGAACAAACTGTCAACTTTTTAATAAGTTATGCCTAAGTAAGTGAAGTTACTTAAGTTAGGCCTAGGCCAGGCCTACATTTAGTCCAAAAAAAAAGTAAACTTGTATCTCAGGCCACCAAGTTATACAAATAGGCTAACTTAGGGTAGGCTACAAATCTGTATCTGCTGTCAAAAACAACCAAATGAAAACATTGATCAATATATTGACCTATCGACTAAGTATTCAATTTATCGATTATTTCATACTACAATAGGCTATAGGTACTACTTATCGCTTGGTTAGTTAGGTTCTACTTAAGATTAACCTAGCTAACAAACGATAAGTTAAGCGAATGAAACAATTGAATAAGGTGGTAATCGACAAGTTCATATTGGTTGATATTTTCATTCGGTTGTTTTTGACAACAGATACGGAAGTCTATCCATACAATAAAAACTTGGAGGGTGACTAGCCTACGGAAATGAGTCTAAGCACTCAAAAATTTATCTTCAGAATAATTTTTCAAATTGTTATCTTAGGCCTAGTGCTGACTACACATTTTACTCAAAAGAATGCTGGTGTAACATAGCAAATACTTAATAATCATATCATGCCTAAATCTTTAAAAGCCATTTAGCCTACTGAATTGTTACAAATTTCAGAAGTTAAGCACCTTTGTGTGCTACAGTGGCATTCTGACTAGCCTAAGTTAACATGGGACTTAAGTCTTGGAGATAACATACTGAAATTGATTCGTAGGCAGGATAACCAGAGGAAACAAAATTAGTTTGACTAGATTTAAGCTATTCTACTGGGGGCTAACCTAAGCTCACAAAGTTCCTAAATCAAAAACATTTTGAAGAGTAAAATCTGATAACTGTATAGGCTTAGCCTTCCCAGTAATTTAAATGCCGATTGTCCAATTAACACTGAGCTTAAAATTATGTAATTTAAATTAGAGAGAAGCAAGAATGGTGCTGTAAAAAGTAACATGGTCCACAAGAAGTGCCTTATGAAGAATGTTAGGTTATGGTTATGACAGTATGTAGAATACCTTATATAGTGAAACAAAAGTAATTCTTTGAGACTGAACAAATAGATAACATTATTTATGCCTACATAAATACGTTTTGATATTTATTGCAAGATTTCATAGATACAAATGGATAAAAATAACAATTTCACATCACAAGACAACTCACCCATCTTGACTCCGACCGGAAAGAAAAAGGAAATTACAAATTGACGGGAAGGTTGGTAGCATGGGAAAAAACAAGGAGGAAACAAGTAACGCCAACACCTAAAACAAAATATTGCCGCGAAAAGTAATAACATTGTTTTTAATTGTTACAATAATGTTTGGTAGTCAATGGTGCTAGTAAATGAAATAAAATAGATACAAATGTAATACGGACGTAATATTATTTATTTAAATTGGCAAATCCGTGTACACAAGCACTGTAATAAATAGTTATATATTTATTTCTTCCAACGGTTTCTCCATTAGATATAATTTTGTCTAAAACTAGATTTACAAGATGGCAGAGGCTGATTGTTGTAAATTTGTAATTCATGCTTATAATAATAAGCAGTTTATTCAGACTATGAATTTAAACTAATAAATAAGTAGCAAATAAATAAGTTACTGTCAGAGATTGATCATAGCCATCGTCCGTTATTGATTACAGCCAATGTAGCCAACCACAAAATCCGGTCAGCAATGAAAATCCAACTAAGGTGGCAAGTTTACATTAATTAGCAAGGAAACGTAAAAGGGTAATTATTACCAACCAGTTAACTACAATACCCACAAACTTGGTGCAATGGTGCAATTCAACATCCCTGAATAATTCAGCTTTGTATTTAGGCAATTTTTGTAAGAAAGCTCGTTGTGGTATGTTATTCATTATCATATATATTGTATGCCATCTACGTGTTTCTAGCTCACCCATTTTATTTATAACGGGTCGCCGGAAGACTGTCCCCCGGAAAACTACCCCCCCAAGCAGGTCCCTACGTCATATTGACGTCAGAGACCGGGGGGGGGCAGTTTTCCAGTCACGGACACTCAAATTTACTTGTCACAACAGTTCTAATCTAACATAACCTAACCAACCAAACTTGCTGTAACATTTCTAAAATCGGTTTTATATTCACCATGCCTTTTCTATTATCCAACGGAATTACTCGAATTAAAATTAAAATTACATAGCATGATTTGTCTAGGAGGGGGGGTAGTATTCCAGTCGCGGACACGGTTTCCATATTGGTTAGTTAGCAGATTTTGTGACGTCACGTTTCACCTGGGGGGGTAGTTTTCCGGGGGATAGTATTCCGCATCCCCAATAAAATAGCTCACCTAATCCACTCGCCCCAACCACCTGAGCTGTCCAACGATTAATAGATTAGATCGTCCTTTTGAACAAAGCTATACCATTGATTGGTGACCTGCAATCGAGCTATAAAAGTTTTGAATTCTTGAAGTTGAGAATACCAAAATACTGTATAATCACTGAAAGCTGAGCTAGAGATTTAAAAATCCTGGCCGCCATATGCATAGTATATTGCTTAGACATGTATCATACTTAAGTATTTGGAACTATATAGGGGCTGAATAGGGGATTGTAATAAAGACATGAGTTAATAACAAAATGTTACATCGTGTTATATAGCTGTGGATGGCTCCGTGGCTATGCTATGTCCAGTTATTTCTAGCTCAGTGAACGTCCCAGACAGCACACATTATCCCAGGGACATCCCATATATGTCCTGAGAATGTCCTGAGGACTACCCTGGAATGACCTATCAGGATATGCCGTGAGTTTATCCGTGGGACATCCCCAGGCGGGGACATTACGCATTCCTGCGGATATCCGGGGATATCCCATAGGTTGACCATAGGACTACTATGGGATATCTTGCATATCCTGTCGCAATATCTGTGGGATGTCCTGAGGAGAAAGTGTGCTGTCTATAAAGTATATGGAACATTCTGAGAGAGGCTCATAAAAATCCTGTATATAAATTACCACTATAAACACAAAAATATTAAAAATATTTAGATTTAGATAAGTAACTGGCTGGGTAGCTGAGTGGTTATCGTGCTCGCCTACTAAGGTCGCCGGTTTGATCCTGAGAAAAGTCAGTAGCTCAGATCATCTCACACCATTCTACACTCATCCTTCACTCATATTTGGTTTAAAATACGCACCTAAGTGGCGTCCCCATCTCAATGATTGATAATTGATAATAATTTAGTTGCAGTGGACACATATAGTCAATAAATTATGAACACAATAATTAATTGAGGATTGAGTTGACATTTACCATGCCACACCATTCCTATGGTACCATATAGGCTACACTATTCTATAATGTCAATCTCAATGGTAGGTTTAGGATATAGGAATTCAGGCCCAGTGTAAGCTAAATACTGAATAGCACTCTCTATGCTTTGGAACAGCTTTGACACCCCCGTTTACAGCTTGGCCTTTTTTATATAAGCAGTTGGAAATGGGGATTCAGTTGGGGGGGGGGGGGTCAATTAGGAGGTTGAGGTATAGTGATTACAATTTGTATGTTTTATATGTTTTACCAATCTAATATTGTGGTGATTACTCAGCTAACATACAAGTGGGGCCTGGCTAAATCTTTAAAAGGATGAACTATTGTCTGTGCGGTCCCTTGAAATGAAATTGGACTGGACTGGTCCTAAGGTGGGTCATTTCCTTCAGAAGCCTCCAGTCAATAATTTTAGCAAGGTGGATCTCTTAGTTTCACTCAATAATAGTGATCTGATGAGGAAAGAGTGAGATGATGGGTTTTAGGGTAGTGCAAGTTTTGTTATCGGAGCTCCTGAATGATGGAAAACTCATATAAGCTGGCGTTCATTTCTGATACATACTGGACTTAGCTGTTCCTGATCATTGGGCTTTAAATGAATGATCCTGAATGATAAAACATCTGGTAACAAAGCTAAAACAGATCATCCCACAACATTCTACTCTCATCCTCCACTCATATTTGGGTTAAAATACACCCAGGTGGAGTCCTTATCTCAATGGATAATAGTGATAACCTAACTCAACTTCTGCATAAGGACGAAAAAAATTATTTGGGACAATTCAAAAAATAATTTATACAAATTATGATGTGATGAGAATATGAATTTCTTATGAATTTCTTGAGCATTAAGGGGTTACTGAGGTTGTTATTTAGAAAATGTCTGATCTAGAATCTACTTTCCCCTAACGTATTATACTGTGCTTGCCTTTTAACCTATGTATTGTTATTTTTGGATGAGTATTTCTGCAAAGGTACCAGGTTAAAAATAAAACACCATTATAAATTTTCATTATACAAATTTTATTTCTAAAAAAACTTCACAAATATTTACATACTGACATAGAAATTAAGTTATAGGCTAAAAATATCAATATTACTTTCCTAACAATCAATGTTCAGCTAGGTAGACTACGTTTTATTGTATTGGTATCGGTGATTTATACAAATATTTTGTCAAAACAAAGTTTGGGTGGTGACTTAAAGGTTTTACCCTCTAAAATAAACAATTAAACTTCTTTTAAGTTCTTGGGAACATTTTTATTGTACCTAGTACAACAATTACAGTTAAAACAAGTAAAAAAACATACATAACAGCTATAGTAAATTAAAAAATATTAAACTCCATTTAATGACTAAGGAAGTGTTTTGCCAATATTCTCTTTTGGCTAAAGCAAGTTCAGTTTAATTTTTTTACTGCACACCATTATCAAACAATTTAAGTCATCTAAGTCGTAACTAATATAATCAGTTATTTGGTAGAAAATATAAAATAATGGCCGAGATAAGTTCCAAACTTTGCTTACATTTGAAAAGTTTGTCAATTTATCGTGCAGGGAATTATTATTCATATTTGTAAAAGACTTTACTTCAGATTATATGTAAATCTGTATTCCATTTTAAATATATCACTAAATCGGTGAACTTTATTTAAGGTAACAAAATGTCTTCATAACCCAAATTTCCTAAAAACTATTTTTTTCTAACCTATCAAGTTGGTGTTTCAGGGAAGGAAGTTGTTTTTGCAGGCGAACCTAGTTAATTCCGAACATGCTGATTGAAAACCATCTTCAACTGCTAGAAAAGCTAAGTTTTTATATTCTTTACTTTTCTCCTACGACTCGTCCTTGGAAATCTACATCTCTAGACGATGCAATTTTGTAATTCCTCGACGATTTGAAGTTTATGATAATCTAAATTCCTTGAGCAAACATTCGGATCAACTAAGTCTGCCTGTATTGTGTATTCCATTACATTTGGGCGTGGATAGCAAATTAGCAAACTTCAGTACACAACGCTAAGCATTTACACCGGGATGGAAAGTGAAGTGGAACTTTTATCATTAGATCATTCTACAACGTATATGCTTTCCAATTGTGATTCTTAATTTATTTTTAACATTCATACATTTTACTGTAAATGTACTCAAAAACAAAATATGGAAGTTATACAAAATCAAATGTGAATTAGTTCAGGAAGACTGTTTTAACAGTTATAACGAATCACTAATACACACTTTCATAAACGTTGATTACATTTTAAAATGATATCACAATGTAAATAACAAAAGTGATGTTCTAACGAGAAAATATGTTTAATATACGTAACCTTTTGTAGCAAAACAAGTGCAACGGTAACATTGTGAACAGTCGTAGATAACTGTGAAAACTAAATTAAAAAGCTTTTATTTCTGTGATGTTTATAAACCGGTGCACATACATGAAAAGTGATTACAATATCAGGAAAATGCCACTTGACAACATGATATGATTAGTTTAGGAATAAATTATACATTATAAATCCACAAAATATCCTAACAGATTTACAGGTAAACAGCTAAAAAACCGCAAACAATAAACAATATCTCTTTCACAAAACAATAAACCATGCTCTAGTAAAATATATTACTCCGAAAATAAACTCAAAAATACAACAGTCACTCAAAAATATCCAAGGACTCGTATCCTGGAGAATCATTACGCTATACAAAACGTACAAAAAAATCAAATTCTTAAATTCGATAAGGTCTGCATAAAAATATGCATGATAAAAAAAGACTTAAAGCTTCGAAACCAAATGTATTAACAAATAAATTATTACACATATACCTAAAAATACTGTCAATAGTTATGTAGTACAACCGACCTTAGTTTCTAATTTACATCTTTGGGTTAGATATTACAAAGAGTTTGTGTTCACATCGATTTCACAAAACTTTGATTCTTTAGTCCTCATATGTTAACACGTGCTATACAATCAGTGGGTCAAAGTGCCAAAGTCAGCGGCACTTTAGTCTTCAAGCAGCACTTAAACACAATTGTCTTCAGGCACATCGCTGTGTCTTGTAGTAAAATATAGTCGTTACAAATACCAATCATACCATCACTGATAAATGCTGGAAAACATTCTAGTTTTCATTGTAGTAGATGATGAGTAGATTCTTCTGGCATTGCAAAACATCGATAGTAACTTCAAGAACAATTAATTTTGTGGTATCAGTTACTGGATTCATCCAGTTTTTACATTTCCATGCAAAACGTAAGCGAAACTACTATAACACTCATGTTCGTTAAACACCCGTGGGGTCAAGTGATCACGTTAGATTGCACAAATTTTTATCAAGAAAAAATAAACGGTGGCATTTTTTATTTCATGTCCTTGAGTAACAACCACTCAAATTCTTAATCTATTTCTGAAATAATCAAACCAACTGGACCTGTTGCGATGAAAAACGGATAAACCTCATTTAAAAAAATTATGTTAAAATGATTTACTCAACAAGGCAACTAACATGTAAAATGAAAGTCTGATGAAATCAACCATTTTCAACAAGTGCCACTAGGACAACAATTGCAATTGCTAGTTGGATTAGTTCACATTTACAGTTTTTGTAGCAATTCAACGGCTACTAGATTTCATTGTCATTATGAATTAAGATTGAGACGCTACTAGAGTATATTATATTTCAACCCAAAAATGAATTAAGGATGTGTGTAAACGGTGTGAGATACCCTGTGTGGCTTTTTTACTAAGATAAGCAGTTCCATTAGCCATGACCATCATCACCCTGATGATCACAGCTGAATCCAGTTGGTTTGTTTCAGAAACAACCAACAAACAATCAAAGATAAATTTTCTCGCGTGTGCATATTTCAGGTAATTTGGTTCCTTGAAATCACTCTAGAAGTACCTGTGCTGTGACTTTCCACTACACACTGGGAACTACAATCACTCGCACAGTAAGTTTCCTTGTTTGTGATACTGTTTGCTTTACTATAAGTTTCACGGTTGGCGACACTGTCCGTGGCTCAGCTGTGGGCCTGCTGACTCTTCTTGCGTCGCAGAAAGAGTTTCCACAACGCCCGAGGTCGCCACCAGGGTCGCCGGGACTACAAAGAGCAGTCGTCGCTGTCTCCTGCGTAGTCGGACGAACTGTCGTCACTGCCTTCCCCCACCCTTCCTCCCAGCTCCACCACGCCTACCCCCGCCTCGCTTAAAATGTTGTCCAGGTTGGGACTGAGGATGTCTTCGTAGGAGCTACAACAGGGAAGAAATAGATTAGTTACGGAAATTAAATAAATAAAATAAAAAACAAAGAATATTTACAGGTTTAAAATAGTTAAATTTAATCAACGTTGAACATGTAAGATTAAGGTATGTTGAAATAGTTGGACAAAGGAAACAATTGAGATTAATAAATTTTAAATCAGTGAAATCAAATTTCTGTAATTTTAATCTTTCAAGTGAATTATTTAGGCCTGCCACACTCTGAATTGAATACAGGTTGTTAACGTAAAGCAACTAGCACCATATTAAAAAAATATGTAACTGGAGCTGCATACTACATATAAATTGCTGACAAAATCAACAGCAGCGATGAATTAAACATGAAAAAATGAAATTATACCCTCGTTTGACCGTTCATCTCTGGCATATCCACAAAAATTGGAGGGGTTTGTATTGCTTTCTCCTAAGAGCGTTAGAGATTCATCATGGGAAAACAATAAAGACAACATAAAAAAGTTTCTCCCATGCCTGATCAAGGTTAGGTAGTATTTTGTTCCACACAAATTTAGTCAAACAACTTTGGAATTTTTCTTTGCATTGTAACGTGTTTGATTTAGTATGTGCTCAGCATAAGTCATCAGTAGAGTAGAAAAAGACTTCTACACTTGTATCGAAGGAAAACTTGTTCCATAATTACAAATTCTTAGTCATCTAGAAAAAATACTGAAAGAAAGCAATTGCAAATTAACAAGCCATGCCTGAAAATAGCGGACTTGAAAGCATTAATCCTATGGAAAATTGGCATTGATTGGTTCAAAATAAAACTATAATAGTAGCTTGAACAAGATTATTTTTACATTGTTAACAGTGAACTGAACCTTTTAGCGGTGCATAAAGTTCATTCAACAATCTTCAGTCAAATTTAAGACTGTTGTAGGCGTACCAACTGATTAAAAAAGTTGCAATCAGCCAAAAACATCGGTTACCTATATAGTGTTAGTACAGATAACAAAAAAACAAAGCACTTCATAAAAATGATTAACAGCAAGTTGAAAATGTTATAATTTACACTAAAAACAGATTAAAACACTTAACACATGAAATTGTGACACAACGAATAAAATGATGCAAAAAATTGATGATGGATGACCTAAAGTTGATGATTGTTGTATTGTTGTTTGCAAAACAATATGATGAATGTGAGGTTGTTCTTGGCAGCAATTATGAATAAATATCATAGAGGAGATACCAAATACCTTTTTTTATAAGGGACAGAATAAATAATTTTGTAGTTTCCATACATGAATATGTCTACGAATTTGAACAATACATACACACATTTTTTTTTAAATAATTATATAATAAACAATAATCTTTGTAAAGAAAATTATAGCCCAACCCAAAAGATCAATTTTATTACCACTTTCATTTAAGATGGAAGACACAATTAGATCTATCTTAAAATCCAAATTTGAACAAAATTTAAGTAGAGGATGTGTGTGATGACTTGTTACTGACTAAGATCAGCTGTTTCTTAGCCAGGACCATTGTTATTAAAAGCCTAATGATCAAGAACAGCTGGGTCCAGTTTCAAATGATCAAAAAGCTTATGACTTTTTCTAGGTTAATCTGGTTACCGTATGATTACTAGGCGAGCACTATGAACTCAGCTACCTAGCTTATATTAGTTGGAAGACAAAACAAAAGATAAAAGATAAATAATTTTGAAGTGACACCGGTAGTAGTAACATTAATGACAAACTGGATAACAACAAAACTGGGATGGTTTGGATTGAATAAAAACAAAAAGAATTCTGAACAGAAGCTGACACTTTATACAATTAACAAATAAACAAGAGAAATGAGTAATTTCCAAGAAAAGTGCAACATCAAAAGTCCTATTTGCTCATTTGCTCTTCTAATGTCATTCCTTTTCTAGTGTATCACCTTGTATTCCTATTTCCTAGTGCTTCTAACATTTTGGATGGACATTAAAAATTGATGCAAAATATTTTTACTGAATTACTGTTCTAAAACATCAATACACGATAGAATTTAGAATAAATATAAAGAAATGATGAATATTAAGTGCTGAATGAATGACAAGAAATTGCTTGGATTAAAGGATTCTTTGGCTATTGAGAGATTTCCCATCCTAGTTTTTGTCTACAGTAAGTATGTAAAAGTAACGTATGGTTTTTAACAGGAAAAAACCTTCAATAAACAGATGGTTTTTCTTGTCGAAGACCGATACTTAATTTATATCCAGGAAGGTGGTCCAAAAGTTTGAGCTAAGCTCCAAACCTAGGTTCATGACGTTATCATTTCTCCAAGTCATTTGTGGAATTCGTGCCTAAGGAACTTGAAACATAACTCTAACCTAGAGCACTAAGCCATTAGACACCTAAGCTGTTTAGTGATATATTATTTACACTCTAATAATCAACCCATTACCTAGATTTCTAAAGTGTAAATTTCACGCCTGCACATTTAAGCTACGGTACTCGATCTTTTTTTGTAGAATTCTGCAAGACTACAATTCGGTGACTAACCCTTCCTATACAATTAATTAGGTTATGTTAACTTTTACTGTAATCAATCCTTATAACTTTTCAATGACTATAGTTTCGAAGTATATGTTGCACCATCGCTTTCGTCTTCAGTGTCCACTATTAAACACTTGGTCGACGGATAAGCGATTACTCTTAACACGTATCAGCCCATAGTATTGTTATCTGTGAGTTTGTGAGTATTTCCCTGGCAAAACATGTTTTAAACTTTTCTTGGGATTCAAGGTATCGTGTGTCTATACAGGTGGATATTTGATGACAATGACAAAATGGTCACCAGTGACGACTGAAGGATGATTTGAAAATAGCAACCTAAACCTTGAAACAAATTTACTCATCGGAAAACAGTATGTATTGAGACTAAAAAGGTAACATAACCTATTGTGTATGCATTTTGAATCGACGAAATAGTATGAATAAAACAAAACCTTTCATTTTACATCAATATCCAATGGTTCACTGTGATCCCTATCTTTGAGTGTGTGATTTGACGATGAAACAAGAACAACTATGCCGCAGCTTGCGTGCAAAAGCCACAAACAACAAAGCCACGATGCTGCCAGCCGTACTTACTGTCAGGCTATATTTCATCCTCCAACCCTCTGTAAAGCAAAAACCCATCAGTAACCCACACCCGTACCCCAGGTGCAGCAAACCAACCAAACCAGCACTCGTGACAAACTGACGTTTCACACTCAATACACTGAACACTAACAAAATCTTCAAATTTATTAATGAGTATTGTTTTTGTGATATTTAAATTCTATGTGCTAAACATACCAATTGCAATCTTAAAATTTCCAAAATTACAAGGATTGCATAGGTAGTCAAAGGTGGAACCTAACAGCTGATTAAAATACTGTTCTCATACCAGACAAATTTGTCTTAAGTATGTGGTTTTTAAAATTAAATTTCATTTAAAAAATGTTTTTAAAGATTTAAGTAATAATTTTTACAAAACTGTAATCCAAACAAAGGAATATCCTGAGGTACACTTCGTATAGAGTGAGAATATTATATTTTCCGTTATTCAAAACAGCCACATTGTTGTAAACATTGTTCTAAACCTCGGTTTTAGATCGTAAACCTATTCTCTGTCCCATCACCTCATGCATAGCTACAAATCACTTCACAACGTACATCCAGACAGGCAAACAAGAGAACACACACACAAACACGAGTGAAATTTAGCACTGAGTACCAAAACTGAGTACTGAAAAAACCGATGCAGTCAAATAAAGTATCAATGAATCATACTCCTTTATAGGTTAATATTATTTGGTTTTTTTTCTTGTAGGAAGATATTTAGTTAAGGAGTGCTAAATTTCACTTTTCTATTATAAGTAGCCTCTATTATTTCTACTTTCGATGCTTGACACTTCAAGTATCAATAATAAATACTGTTGTACTATTACTAATTCGTAAATATTTAAATATCTGTCATTTTACACAATGTTTCGAATGTTATGTGTGTTAAATGTTTAGCATATTTAAGGGGAAATATGGAAAGAAAACGTGTAAAAAAGATGTCAACCAAGAAAAAAAATATAACAGAGTTTAAGAGTAAAACTGTAAATAAATAACAAACTTCACTATTTTAAGTGATAAAATAGATGGACCTTAATATAGGTTGGAACTCGGTTGAAAGCATTGGAATCAGTTTCAATCACCATGCATGTGTTCAACATTCCAAAACCAATAGTTAGCTAACTGAAGTGAAGAAACAGAAGTGGAAGATTCAAGCATTTTAAGGGTAAAATAAAATTAGAGTAAACAAAAATGATTGCCTTTAACTTTCAAAAAAACAAATAATGTTTTATTGAAAATTTTCACCCTCTCGGAAACAATACAAAATAAATATAATCAAGGTTTTTTAATTTTTTCTAGATATAGAATTTGGAGTCGATTTTATTCTTCCAACGAACTGATGAATTGAAACCCAATTAGACTTTAGCTGTCAAATACTTTGGGTATTCTAAGTTATACTTACAAATCGTCATGATTATCGTTTCCCCCTTCTTCTGCCACTAGAAGCTCGTATTCTTCAGCAGCGTAACGATCCCAATCAGACATCTGTAAATAAAGCCATGGTCACAAAATCACTTTTAAGTTCAAGGTTTCATCTAACAAAATCTTTAATCAATAACCTTGGTTTTAATAAGGTATGCTAGATCCCTAGTATGTGTAGTGTGCGTGATATAAAAAAGTATAGATGAATATAACTAAGTATCAGTTGAGCTTAAGGTGAAAAAGAAAGAAAACGCGATTAAAGTGAGAAAATAACATATTTCCTGCCATGCATACGTACTTTAAGCATAAAGCCATCATCAGATAGGAATTTAATGCTGATCATTGTCAAGAAATAAAAGCAGCATAACATAAACAATATACAGAACAGTTTCCAAAAACTCGGCATACAACACTCTGGAAGTACAGATTTTTCGGCAAACCCGTAAAGAATATTAAACGATAGGTTCGTAGAACCCAACCTCAAACCGAAGTGGTAGTCAGAGCCTAGTTTGTAAATCAGAACAATAACCATGAATTTTTAGTACGAGTAATAAAGTCGAGTACAGAAGAACTACAATCATCTGGATCAATAGGGACCATAATACCACATTCGGATAGTTGGATTCCCACAGACATTTGGGGTATTTTACGGTAAATAAGCAGAGTCAAGCAGACATTTATCTCTTGTGATCTCAGAACGCATCTGCAAAGATTTCGCAATCTAAATATGATTTTTCATGACCGCGGAAGATGATGATGATGATGTCTACAAGACAGCAGAGCAATGAAAAAATGATGACAATCATTTCATTTCTATGACCATGGGAGACGATGATAATGTCTACACGACTGCGTGATGTATTTAACGTTTTGCCGTGATCTCGGACGACAATTATGATGTTTCCATGACCGTCGGGGATGATGATGTCCACGACCAAGAGAGAGGTTTTGGATTTGCCTCAATCACAGCTTCTGCCATCTTTAATAATGATTCTTATGACTGTGATTTTATGTATTTAAATTCATGCTGTAAACTATTCTGATAGTAGGCAATTTGTATGGGGAATACAATTAACAGGAGTTCTACTGCATTTTCTTCAATATGTTGACAAATTCACTTCCAAATGTAAAATAGCCTGAGATACATTAAATCAGTGTATGTATTTAAAAGCTATATTGAAAATGTAGTATCTGTGTATCAAATAAAATACATGTACTAAATTATGTCTAGATTTACGTTGACCCATTTCGCCAATAACCTGGCATTTCTCAAACTCGGTATCTTTTTCATTCACATTACGCCGAGTTGTGGAACTGTACTGTATACATTATCTAACATAATTTACCTGTTCATTTTCATTATCCTGGAAGCAAGGGAACAAGAGATTCATTTAGTTTATGAAATCATTAAATAGGGCAAAATGGAATTTAAATGAATGCTTTGTAATGCCAAATTTTTGGTCATCAGAAGATTATTGCGTCGTTGGATTGACAGTGGCTAAAGTTTCAGATGTATTTGCCAACCTTTGCCAATCCAAAGACGCGGTAGATTAAGACCAAGATTTGGCAGTATACCTTAATCTTGGAAGCCTAACTATGCATTGGCTGTTTTGCCTACATTAAAACAGGTCAAGATGGTGCTTGTAAAAGTAAACAGCTAATATTCATCCTCTTTTCTCACTATTTAGAAGTAATGATTTAGTATTCCCAAACAGAAAACTTTGACAGTAATTTTTAGCCTAATAGTAACATTTTTTTCACTGAAACATTTGATTTGGTTGTTACTAATGACTCAGTATTTTATCTTGATTGATTTGGCATAGAATATAGCTCAGACAGCAGTCTTAAGGGTTCTTAATCAACCATAGTACCCAACTTTCACAGTTTTCAAGTTTGAAAACAATACATCCGTCTGTAGCACTTACTACGATTGGGAATAGCAGTTAAAGACCAAAAACTCATGGACAATGTGCTGTATCTTGCTAGTTCGAAATAGTTGAATGATTTGTCCACCAGGTGCGACCTCCGACCAAACCTTGTCAAACCGTAGCGATGTCTTCTTTTTACATGTGACGAGGAAGGCTCGTCAAACTGTTAACCTCTAACTCACCTCCGTGTCGTGATCTCGCTGAGAAGCGAACGGATCTCTCTGCTCATGGTCCAGATACTTCTCTAGGTTGAAGAAGGTGTCGAAGAATATCGGAGTCATCTTGCATCTCTTTAGATCACTCAGCGAGATCTTATCAGGGATGCTGGGTCTGATCATGTCCAGCATCTGTGGGAAAACAAACACGTCAATACTTATTATTACCAGTTTTTTTTTTAGGTTTTTGTTTGTTTGGATATTAAGCTGACCTGAATGAGAAAGGGTCCAATATGGCACAAAACTTTACACCATACACAAAACATCAAAATATTTCAGTGTCACTAACAGCATTTTTAAGTGACATTGAAAAAGTGAAAAAGAGTGTGGAAATTTGATATGGAGCATAAAAATAGCCGTGCAAACCTTTTTTCTTTGTGTTCTTCTGTGAGAGGTCAGAGTAACCCCCTAAAACATAATTTCTTTCCAAATTAACATTTTTATGGCCATTTTAAAACTTTCTAGTCAAGCTCTAAATTTTCCCCTTTATCATTGCGACAGGGCTACTTTCAGTCATCTAGGGATGAATTTTGGCATCAGATATGTTTCTTGTAATCAAAAAGCGTATCACTGACCTTATCTTACACGCGTTAAGAGTTTCAAACATTTTAAAATCACACAACGAAGCATACACGTCAGCTACAGAGCTGTAAATGGCGTAATTCACAAATGATGCCAGTAAGTGACAAGGAGCCTTGTTGTGGCGTACACGCAAACTCCGGATTTATATGCGAAAACAGCCCTTGTATTAAACATTTTTGGTACATTCTCAAAAACTTGAGAATATGTACTTTCTAAAAATGAAAGTCATATTTAACTTAGGATGAAAACTTAGTTTGACCAAGAAATTGTTTTTTTTTTAGAATCAACGTCTATATTATGGGTTCTAATTTGTATTTTGAAAAGTTGTTCTATAAAGAAACTTGAAGAAGATCTTCAGTCAGCCTACAGACTTACCTGACAAAGGCAGTCTTCAAAAGGCAAACACTCAATTCCGATGGCCTCCATTCTTTGGAGCTGTTCATCGTAGAAATACTCTAACTCATACATGGACAGATATCCATCCCCATCCAGATCCATGCATCTGTTAAACAAATACATAAATTAGTAACTTTCCAAAGAATTCATGAAAGATTTCATATCAATTTTGAGAAGGAATCGATCGGTTTACACCCTGATCAAAACCATTAAATAAAAATTGTCTACAAATGACAATAGGTCATAAAACATAAAACACACATGTACATAAAACATTTATGATGTGTCTTTTCTAACATACTGTATGTTTAGTAAAATACCATATGTTATGTTTAATAAGTTAACTCTGTTTTTGTTTACAATCATTGTTATTTAGGATTCATTTCAGAATACACCTATTTTATTTTACACATCTTTTATTTAATATGTAACAGTTTGGCGACGAGGAAAACCAGTTTTTAATTTTTTTTACATTATATTTATTACAATTTATTTTCTAATATGAGTGACCTAAGTAACACTGAAAGTTTGACTGATTTAAAGAAGATTAGAGTAGTAGTGAAGGGTCAGTTGTCTAAGGCTGAAAGATGGCTAGCAAACCTACAAAACATGTCAAAAGAAGTAATCAAAATCAGGATAACAACAATTGAAGAGTATTGGGAAAGATTTAATTCTGTACAACAATTAATAGAAGAGAAAACTGAAGAAGTTGAAATTGAGAAAGAAATAGATTACAGAGTAGAAATGGAGGACAAATATTACAAGGTAATGGATGAGTTACAAAAACGTATGGGACAGCTTGCAGAACTACAAGTGAACATTCAAAATATTGTGCCTAGTACATCAAATTTGTCTTCTCCACAACGTCGATCCACTACTTCCTCAATGATTTTCACACCATATCAGGAAAATGAATCATTCAAGAACTTCATGCGTCGATTTGAGATATTTCTATATCTACATAGCCAAGAATTGGAACCAAAGGATCAAGTGTATACAATGCTACATGCCTTAACGCCACATTTACATCAGAAGCTGTATGATTTGTGCGCTCCTGAAAGTCCTTTGGATAAAACATATGCTGAATTAGTAAGTCTTTTGGCGGATTATGTTGACCCTAAACCTAGTACTTGGGCCTTACAACACAAATTTATGACAAGAACACAAGAATCTGAAGAAACCGTAAAAATATATTCCGTTGAGCTTCAAAAGTTATCTTCAGACTGTGACTTCAACTGTAATAATTGTGGGAAATCAATTGCAAACACATTACTACGCATGCAGTTTATAAGAGGTATTAGCAATTCAGACATAAGAACAAAATTACTACAAGAAAGATCTGCTTCATCGTTTCAAGATGTAGTGAAACTTGCCTCCATCATGGAAATGGCAAAGAACGAAAGCCATATAGTAGAAGAAAACATTCATTCAAATGAGAAAATCAACAAGATAGCAGGTAGGCCTACAGAAACAAAACCACCCCATTTTTCTACTACTTGGAACAAAAAGTTAATGTCTCCATTTGAACGCCTCAAAGGTAAATGCTATCGTTGTGGATCACCTAGACACAGGGCACATCAGTGTAAATTTATCGGAGAAATATGTAAGAAATGCAACAAACAAGGACATATTGCTAGCGTATGTTTGGGCACAAAACAAACAGAAATTCATTGTACTGAAACTGACAATACTACAGACAATTATAAGGAAGAGAAACAAGAAGTTTTTAAGATACACAACCAGAATGCCGGTAATGACAAGTTTATGGTCGAGATACTTATTGAAGGTAAACCTGTGCGGATGGAGTTAGATACTGGAGCAGCAATAAGTATTCTACCATACTCTACCTTCAAAAGTCTCAACATAAATAAAAAGATTTTCCACACAAACATAGAATTAAGGACATACTCAAGCGAAATAATCAAACCCCGGAGTGTCATCTTTGTAGAATGCACTTACAATGATCAGGTGTTTGTTGGGAAACTCTACATAGTGAACCAAAATTTTGATGCAATTTTCGGAAGAGAATGGATTAGAGAGGTCAAACTGGATTGGGCAGAGCTTAAAACAGTTAGAAGCAATACTACATCTACTGCACTTGAAGATCTTTTGGATGAATTCAAAGAATTATTTGAACCAGGAGTAGGACTCATACCTCACAAAAAAGCACACTTACAGCTTGTTGAAGGGGCAAGACCTATTTTTGTGAAAGCTCGTCCAGTCCCATATGCACTAACTGAAAAAGTAGAACTCGAGTTGAATCGTCTGGAAGAAGCTGGAATCATTTCCAAAACGGACAAGTCCGATTGAGGTACTCCAATTGTACCTGTAGTGAAGCCTAATGGTAACATACGTATATGCGCTGATTACAAGGTTACAGTAAATAAACAAATCAAAGAAGAACATCATCCAATACCTCGGATCGAAGATATTTTTGCTCAAATGAATGGAGGACAGTTGTTCTGTACTTTGGATTTAAGTAACGCTTATCTCCACTTGGAAATGGATGCTGAGAGTGCAGAAATTCAAACTTTGAGCACTCATAAAGGACAATACACAGTTAACAGACTGATGTTTGGTGTAAAAGTTGCTCCAGGGGTTTGGCAAAAGGTGATGGACGGAATCCTTCAAGACCTTCAAGGTGTTCAGTGCTTCTTCGACGATATAATAATTCAAGGAACGTCATCAAAAGAACTACTAGAAAGACTAAAGCAAGTGTTTGAGCGTTTAAGGAGTCAAAATTTGAAGTTGAACCGTGACAAGTGCAAATTTTTTCAAAAGAAAATTGAATACCTAGGACATATTATTGACGCCACTGGAATCCACAAAAGTAAGGATAAAATCACAGCAATTACAAATGCAAGAAGGCCTCAAAACATACAAGAACTCCAATCTTTCCTAGGGCTTGTTAATTACTACAACCGGTTTGTAAAGAATTTGTCCACTGTTTTAAATCCTTTACATAGACTTCTAAAAAAAGGGCAGTCATTCATATGGGACAGTAAGTGTGAAGAAGGTTTCCAAAACATCAAGAAAAGAATAGGCTAACAAGTGACACAGTCCTTTGTCACTTTAACCCAGACCTGCCATTGATCCTTGCAACTGACGCTTCACCTGTGGGACTTGGAGCAGTGATATCACATCGTTTCCCAGATGGAAGTGAAAAGCCTATAGCTTTTGCTTCAAGATCATTGACCAATGCTGAAAAACATTACAGCCAAATCGATAAAGAAGCCACAGGTATATACTGGGGGTTGAAGAAATTTTTTTCTTATTGCTACGGGCGTCATTTTACACTCATCACGGACCATAAACCATTAGTGTCAATCTTCAATCCCAACAAGAGCCTACCATCAATGTCAGCTACGCGACTATTCAACTACTCCCATTTTTTATCAGGATTTAACTACACAATTGAATTCAAGAGAACTGGTGATCATGGCAATGCAGATTTCCTCTCAAGATTTTCTGTGGAAGATTCAAAATTTACAAGTATTGACCAGTTTGGACATTTTCAAACAAACCAATTGAACACCATAACCAACAATCCCAAAGAACTGGCCGAAGAAACTATGAAGGACACATATCTAAAACAAATTGTGGAGGCTCTTGAGGAGGGTCAATCACTAGAGCCATTGGGATTTCACGATAATGAAGTTACATTACATGAAGGATGCCTCTTCAAAGGGTGGAAAGTAATCATCCCAAATTCCCTCAAGAAAAGAATTCTCAATGAACTACACTACGGGCACATTGGTATAGTAAAAACCAAAGCTTTGGCCAGAAGTTACTGCTTTTGGAGAGGAATGGATAAAGACATTGAAAACATGATTGCTGTTTGCAAGCCTTGTCGGGAGAAACAAAATTCTCCAACGAAAGAGATCAATCATCCTTGGGAACCAGCAACTCAGCCATGGGAGAGAATACATATAGATTTCATGGGCCCAACAAATGGACAACAATTTTTAATTGTTGTTGATGCCTTCTCCAAATGGGTAGAGGTAATACCTACAAAAACAGCAACTACCGATTGGACTATTAAGGAGTTGAAGAAACTTTTTAGTACTTTTGGTCTTCCAAGCCTCCTAATTTCAGACAATGGACGAAGTTTCACTTCTCTTACTTTTCAAGAGTTTCTTAAGTCATGTGGAACTCAACACAAAACGACTGCTCCGTTCCACCCATCATCTAATGGACAAGCTGAACGCTTTGTACAAACAGTGAAGAAGATGTTGAAGTCGATATTAGATGAACCTGGAACACTTGACAGTAAAATTCACAAGGCGTTAATTCAACTCCGTCAAGTACCAAACTCAACAGGAAACTCGGCATACTATCTCATGTTCAACAGACGAGTAAGAACTTACCTCAGTGTTATGATACCTTCTAGAATCGAGGACTCAAAAGACAAACCTAAAGGTATAACACGCATATTTAAGGTCGGAGACCGTGTTCAAGTGAGAAACTACTACAAGGGTCAGAGAAAATGGAGTTTTGGAAAAGTTACATCAAGAGATGGAAATCTACATTACAACGTTGAACTGGAGAACGGAGTAACATGCAGACGACATGTAGATCAAATGCTGCGGTCAAGACTTTAAAGGGGGAAAATTGATGTGTCTTTTCTAACATACTGTATGTTTAGTAAAATACCATATGTTATGTATGTTTAGTAAAATACCATATGTTATGTTTAATAAGTTAACTCTGTTTTTGTTTACAATCATTGTTATTTAGGATTCATTTCAGAATACACCTATTTTATTTTACACATCTTTTATTTAATATGTAACAATTTATGTAAAAATTACATTTTAGAACTATCTTTTTAACGTTTAACCTTTTTGAATCTCACGGGTGCATTAGCCTCATCGCTAACACACGAGTGTTTACATGCGGCTGTGTGGAGTTTGAACAGACGTGCCAACTACGACTGCATAAAGAATAATAATATGCCGTATTTAGTACCATTCTATTTGAAGAAAAATGGCGATTCTTGTGGTATATTTTGTTTTGCACTAGCTTGACATACATCACTGCAGTGATGTTTACAACTTAGCTGATGTTTTGTAGTGATTTGTTCAATCACGTAGATTGTTTGAAAACAATGAGTAACTGTCCCGAGTAGTCGCGGCAGATTCAGATAATGAAATTAGCGAATACTTAGACGATGACAGGTGGTGTGATGTGTTGGGAGTGGATTATGATAGAGATATTAATGATCTGCTATTATGGTGATACAGGGCTAAGCCCCTGTCATACCTGGGGCTGGGGAAAGCTGCATTAACTGAATTGGCAAGAATCAAAACGTTAAAACACTTGAATCAGATCAATATTTTCAAAGTGCCAAGAAAAAGTCGTTAAAGCCATGAATTTAAGGAAAGGAACCAGCTGGTACTCATTTCAACTCGCCTCATGCCACTCCACTGGAATTGCATCTTACCTTTTTGTTTTTACAGAGCAAGGTTATGGAACTGTTTTACACATTACTTTAGGCTAGGCCTCGAGGATTAGAAGAAACATGTAGATAAAATCGGTTGGTAGGTGGAATTTTAACTCAAGAGTTCAGGGATCTAAGTCCAGCACTCCAATAGACCGACTCCCCACAGATTAAAGTAGCCTTACATCAACACTTTATAAGCAATGCCGTGACTAACTCTTGCTCTTACCTGAACCAATACTCTATGGCGCGGGGGTGTTGCTTGTCCTCCTCGGCTAGCAAGAACCACACAAACTCCGTGTAACTCATCTTTGCGTCCGGAGACCCGTTCAGTTGAGAGGCCATCTTGCCTCTCGTCACCGTCCCCGAAAATATCCTGTCTATTAGTCTTGACGACAAGGCTGCAATCACATGTAAGTCTTACAAACCATTTAGTATGTTAACCCGTTACTAAATACTGAAGTATATATCCCATATGGACCAGCTGAAGCCATTTTGTAATTCAAATAGACCATAATTATTGAATGAGAATTTGCAAAATGCACTACTGTAAAAATTCTAGTTTCCCCATTAGTTTGCGTTACTATGATGGTAAAAATGATTTAGTTCAAGTTCTTAGTTTGTGGATTGTTAAAAAAGTATTCAAGAGAAATCAATACTCGGCAATAGTGCTTTGTCAAAGGTTCATCTCAACTAACAGGGCTGCAGCTTTCACATAGGGATGGGATGTCTAACTGTATTCAACCTTGTGTTGCAATCATAAGACAATACTTATAAGAAAGTTATTACAAGTGACGTTATTAGTAAAAATCTACCATCAAACTATGCAACATATTTCTATTGTCAGTTTTGTTGTTGAAAAAAAAATACTAATGTAAGTTTAACATACAAACTTGTAAAGTAGCAGAGTTTTAAAACAATCAGATTTGTTTGAAGGCACTTGAATTAAATCTTACTTCGAAACAATTTTTAATTATTATCCGATTTATAATGAGTATATTATATCTATTAAAAACATTATAAATGTAATAAATAAATGTGTTTTGTATAGAACGCTCTCATTATTTAACAGAGCTACTGACTGTTGTTTCTTTACTTTTTGATAAGTTTAAAATAATTTAAACTGAGTTCAATTTGGAGAATTCATCTGAAAAGTGAAAGTTATTAGTGTAGTCTAAAACAATACATTTCCTTGACTGTAACTGCTGATAGCAAAATGTATCAAATATACTAAAACACTGTGGCATTGAATAGTAGTAATTATGAAAATGTCTTGTGCGAGTTAATTGAATGGACAACATTTAGAGAATATAACCTAATCAATGACATAACTAAGATATGAAAGTGTAGAACGTTTACTTAAAAAAGCTTTTAAATAGATGCAGTGGTGTTTACTAATAAGCGTCGATCAGTGCAACTGCATCTAATCAAGTGAAACCAAAAAACTAAGCTAATCTGAAGACAAATATAACCCTCAAAAATAGAGCTTAGATTCATACGCTTAATAGCGTAAGCAAAACCGATAAATTAAAACAAAACTCTTTCTTTATGAAACCATTTAAGTTAAACTTACCACAACATTAATTTCCATACACAATTTTTGTTATATGCAAAAATAATGTTATGTGAGCTAAAAAAATACAGTAGAACTTCAACTATCCGAATCAATGGTGACCGAACCACATTCTTATGATAAAAAAAAAAAAAAAATTAGCGTAATTGGATTCTTAGCAAATTACGGAGAATTTTATGGAAATAGTACTGGTTGAGCTGATCTTTTACTATCGCGATTGCAAAACATGTCTGCAAAGATTTAACAGTTGAAAACTTTACGCTTTTGCGGAGGATGTTCATCATTTTCTGTTACCGATGTAGACGACAATGATGTCTACACGACAGCGGGAGTTGTTCAGAATTTTGGGGCATCACGGCTTTTGCCTTATGTAATTAATAACAATTCTTAATACTGTAGTTATTAAAAATCTTTAAGTAAGCAATTAGGGTAAACTGCAATTCGGATATTTTGAGTATATTTTCGGAGTTCTACGTATCCAAATTTCCTACTTTTACTTTATGAAAACATTAAGATGTTTGGACTAATGGTATCTCCTTTGTAGATTTTAACAATTCATTTTAACTTCAAAAACAATTAAATTTTTAGTGTTTTGTAACATAAATATAATTCATTACTAGACGTCTTCATTAGCTTATAAGTTAACAAAAATATTATTTCAGGGTTTACCATTTAACCTTACCCATCTGAAAAATATAAATTATTGATTTAAAAAATACCTTACGCCCTGACCACATTAAAGCTTGAGACAAAAGTCTGTACACATATTTACACTAACTCTACAACATCCATTGATTATTAGCAACACCATATCCATCCCTCCACCAGTTAAGCACCCCTCCAGTACCGAGTTTGTACCTACATGTCAACACACGTTTACTCGAAACAGCTGACGCCCTTCGTATAAACTCTTTGAATTCTGCCAAAAACACATGGAAATTATCAAGTAGCTCTGAATTATTGTGGTCTGTGGTGCTTAGCATTGGAAATTAGTCTAACATTATCAAATTATATTATTTGCATTATTTAACTAAAAATTATTAGTCTACGATACGATTAAAGGTTTAATATTGTGAATACAGATAACTTACTGTGAGTTAAAGCCAAAAGCTTAAAAGCGGATACTCTTATACTTTGGACATGGATGTATGGAATGAAAAACACTTTTCTTGAATTTAGGGAAACTTTTCAATAAAGAGGGATTCCTTTATTTTAAAACTTCTATTACTGGTTCTTCTCAAATTATTGAATTAATACGGATTTGAGTTAAATAGATTACAATAATTTTTTAATCAGGAATTTTTTAAGAGAAACTGTAATCACATCACTGGGAAGAGTGACAAAAATTTCATAATTACTTATTTTTTAACGAGTTATGAGTGGAGTTGTCTTTTTACTTTAATGTTTATATTTTAGTATAAATCTTTAGGTAGAAAAGTTTGCAATTCAAATTTCATTCGAATAGATCTAGATTCATTCGAAAAAAAATTATATGAATCTCTTTAACTAAAACTGAACATTTTTTAGTAGCCTAGATTATTTTTCAATTACTTAACTTTGATTACTGCTATAGTTATAGCTTAGTTCAACTACTGAGGGAATTATTGGAATTACTCTAAGTGATAACATCTTTTGCAATACTTTAAATTTTAAAATATCTAGGTAAGACTGAAAATTAAAATTTAAACTAACCTAACTTTAAAATCACCTTGATACTCACCGTGGTCGCTGTGCCGCGCCAGATCGTTCTTGTCGATGAACAAATCATGGTCGCGGTCGAGCTCCCAGAACTTGCAGTAGATAACGTAGAAATGTTCGTAGCTGAAGTACTGCGTCACCTGATTGATATCATCTTCGCGCTCGAGTGTCTCCACGACGCGCAGGAAGTCCGAGCGGCGCAGCTCCGGCAGCGTGATCTGTCCACTCCACGATTGGTTGACACAGTAGTAGATGCGCGATATCACCTAAAATTGGATATTAATCATTGTTTAGGTTATTACAATAGCTTGTACATATAGCTATCAACTGGAATTTCAGGTCCATATTGACAACTAAAAGGTTCATAGCCTCCCATAGTACCAACCTTTCATAATTTGCACGTTTAAAACAAATAACTATTTTTATCCATTTCTATTGCACTCACTACAATCAGGAATAGCTGTAAATATCAAGCAACTAACGAACTATGAGCTAGTTTGAAATAGTTCACTAATTTATTGTCAGATTCACCCCACAGGGTTGCATAATGACAAGACTATATTGTCAAATTTTTCCGTTGTCTTTTCACACGTAACGAGGAAGACTCGTCAAGGCGTGTGTCTTGGAAGTGTTTAGATTACTTGACACTCACCGTATGCACGTATCGAGAGTGGAACTCCTGCGCCTCCTTGAGGAAGGTGAGGCCAGGATGTGTGTCTACGACGTCCTGCACCAGACCCATGAGGTCCTCGGGCAGCAGGTACTGACGAGTGCTGCTCCTGGAGGCGATACGCAGGAACCTCGAGGCAGGGTCATGACACGTACTACACAGGCTGTGGGAAACAGATGATCGATTAGCTATGTTGCATTAGTATTTATTATAAATTCCGATTTTTTGTTGTTTGAGTAAAAAACATGTTGAACAACCACTTGGTAATTAAGTATTGTTATTGTTATACCATAAGTTGTACGAGGGTTGTATGAATTTTTTTATGTAAAGAGGTTGGCAGCCTCTTTTTATTTGCATTTGCCAGTTCACATGGACCACCGAGACCTGTGCGTGGAACACATCCAGCAAAAGCAAGGCTTGAGCCTGTATAGTACAAGGGTGAACTGCACTGATGAAAAGTAGTTGCAATTACTAGGATCTAGGATCTGAACCCACGTGCTCACTACCTTGGGTCCGAAGTCTGCAGTACTACTGTATTATCCACATTAGAAACACCAAAACTTTACTCAAATTAGGTGCATCAACACATAAATAAAACAAACTTTAACACATTAAACTGGTTTCTGCACTGTCCTAGTTATCTATGAACAATGGTAAAACTAGTTTCCATAAAAGTTGACAGTACTTACTTGCGCCAGTACTCGATGATTGTGTTAAGCTCGACATAGCCAAGTTTTTCACCTCCACACGCTATAAACAAAGGTGCTTTCCAATATAGAGGGCATCCACATGCCTGCAAACAATACACATTGTTGATGAAGGATAAGACATTATCTTATAAACTACATATAAATAAACATAATTAAATCACTCAAAATATTAAAATAAACTGCACTATGGTTGCACATTGTTCAAATATTTTCAAATCCGATTGCAATTTAACAAGCTTCCTTTAAGGATAAATAAAAAAATATTTTAAATGGTTAAACAAAAAACTTTTTGTTTAACCATTTAAAATATTTTTTTTATTTATACAAAAGCCCCAACACACCCCCCTACCCCCCTTACACACACCCCTTACAACTGTAAGGGTTTTTAAAAATGTCTTTCTATCATTGAAAAGCTTAGACCCTAGCCAGCTGAAATTTTGCACAAAGATAACTAATTTACAGAGGAGTTACAGACATATTGCTGTTTGGATATTTTGTCTCAAGACTTTGTTCCATACCTTCTGGGAATTTGGAAATGTGGCTATGGAAAGTTAACAATGATTTTCTCCTGGACAAGAACTTCAACCAGGATGTGATTGAGCCATGCGAACGAGCTCACTTATGAAGTTAAAAGGGGCAAAGCCCGCAGGTATATAAATAAATGGCTGAATTGAGTTTTTATTTCAAACATGTGATAATTAAGCAACATTTTTTACTACTATTAGCAAGGTTACACACCAGTGTCTAAAACATGTTTTACAAGTTGGGTTGTGAAGAATTGAAATTGAAAGTAACATTGATGTCTTTTGCTTGTTTGATGGTTTTCCTGATACAGTAGAGTCGCACAAACTCGGCACTCGATAACCCGGCAGTCTGGATAACTCGGCCATCGGCTTAGAAAATTAGTGATTTTTTGAGTAAGAGTTAAACATGGACTCAAGGCAGCTCAAGTCAAATCATTCATAACTCGTGCCAAGGATTTGTTGTAATATATCTGATGACTTAATACTGACTTGTAATATAAATATAAATAAAAAAGGTGTTTAAAAAGCTTACAAATTGTACAGTTCTTATTTTTGACCCTAGTTCCCGATAACCCAACATTTCACAATCTCGGAACCTTCCAGTCCACATTACGCTGAGTTTGCGGGACTCTACTGTATAGGCCTAATACTGTGGTGAGTCGAATACAGAATATCAAAAACGAGTAATTACTCTTTGTCCTTGCCAGAAGACGTCAACAGCACAAGGTTTTACAATAGGGTTGACCCTTACTCAAATCCAAATGCGTAGCTATAAAGCTGGTTTGTAATTTCCCAATAACTAAACCAACAATAAGAGTTTTAGGAATATTTTAGACAGTAAAAATGTTGCATTGTGCCAATGCCTGAGGCTGTCTAATATAGAAAAGCCTGAGTGTAGGCTAATTCAATCTAACTACATGGGTTGGTTTTAGAGAAAAATATCTCATCCACCATAAATATCTATATGTATGGGGCTAGGGGAGCAAACTCATCTAGTGGAGTGCAATACCTCGGTGTTTGATGTCCCAAGTCCAAACCCCACCAATCACCAATGTATTTAATCTAAGTGATAATGTATTTTATCCAGGTTGAAGTAGGTTTCGCGTTAGAGCCTAGCATCCCAGAATGTGAAGGTAGGACATACAAAAATGTGTGTATGACACACCTCTGTGTAACCCACCAAGATCTATTTCCTTCAGCTTTTTCAGCCATTACAAATTAGAAATTCACAAGTTTTCTAACCTTGGTAACAGCTGCGAAGTGTTCTTTGGTGGCTTGCTGGTTGGGGAAAGACAGGAACAGCTGACGAAGGTTCACTGTTGTCATCTCCACCTGTGCTTGTTCCCCAGGCTTGCCCAGGGGGAAGTGGAACCTACGGACAAGACAAACTGTCATTGCCTGACAACTGATAAACAGTTTGATAATTGCTATATTGTCATTTAAGATTGTTGCACACATTTCCCATCACGATTAGGAAAAAACAAAGTTTTTACGAGGTCTAGGGATCCAGAATCTGATCCCGTCCTCACATGAAAAAAAAACCAGATTAGACAACATACTTTCAGGGATTTAAAAATCAAATCACTTAAGGAAAACATGATAAAATATCATGCAAATATATTGCCACATAAAATTTTAAGTAAAATTAATTCCGGAATTCATGCTTTATCAAGTATGTCTTTTTACTGTGACTTAAAAACTTTAAAAAATATATATTTTGCACATGTGCATTCACATATCACGTTTGGCATAGCACTCTACGGCTCAACAAAAATATGTAATCTAGATAGCATTTTAAAGGAGCAAAAAAGAGCTGTTAGAATCATGCTTAAGCTGCAGCATGATGACTGATGAGTCAGCTAAAGAGAATTTTAAGGACCTAAAAATCTTTAATGTTTACGGGCAGTATATATATGAATCAATAATAATTGCAAAAAAACAAGAAGAATATTCGGAACCAAAAGAAAAACCCAATTTTTTATAATTTAAGAAATAAGAACGAAAATGTACAACCACATAGGACTAAATTTTTTGAAAAGAAACCATCCTATGCAGGTAATAGATTTTTTAAATTTATTCCCAAAAAATATTAAAAAAAGAAACAAATCCAAACAAATTAAAAAAAATATTGAAAGAGTTTTTAATAAATTTAGCAATTTATTCATTTGACAATTTTTTCACCTCCCTCAGTCGCTATGATAAATTATCTTACTAGATTTGTAAAATGTATTTGTTGTTTTTATAACCATTCCTCATGTTTTGCTGTTTTTTATCCTGTTGAACTATTTTGACACTATTTTTATTGTAATTATTTTGACACTATTTATTGTACAATGTACATAAAAATGAATAAAGATATTTGAATTGAATTGAATTGAATTGATCTACAAACCACTACTCACACATTTTGAGATAATGCACACTGAGAGATCTTCATAGCACTTAAAATTTAATATTACGTAATAATACTCAAGCAAGGACAGTTTTAGCATTAAACCAAACTAGTATGTGTAAGATGTGTGGTCTGTGTATATGTGTAGGTGCATTGGATATAAATTACAGTCAATGGTAAATTATAGGTGGCTGTGTTCCATTACAGACCTGACAACTGTATAAACAACTGAACATTCACATAATGTAGATGGTGAAGTAATCAATTCGATGTGTTCTATCAAAATCAAAGATAGCCTATATCAGGAATAAAAAACATTCTGAAATACTTTTGCACTAAATTACTTTCTTTAACCAACCTCTCTGAACTATTTAAAGAAATTATTTAAATAATTTGAATTTAAGATTAATGGTTCATTAAAGAGAATAGTTATAATTTACTTAATTTGAAGAAAAAAAAATATGGAGCTAATAATTTTATTGGAGCCCGGAATCCGTTCCCTGAGGTACTAATTTCAAATCCCACAATCACTCATAGATTTTATCAAAGTGAAAATGCTGCAAACCCCTCTAAAACTAGCCTGAAGTTATGAGGGAAATATTTCCGGGCTGGAACCTAGATGAAAAAGTATTGCAAAACTCAATGCACTTATATAAATACGAATAAAGAATATGAATATTCACCTAGGTATGAGCAGACTGCGGTTAGCTTTGGCATGTCGCTGTAGTGTCGTGTGTGGAGGTGGCCCGCTCTTGGTACTCGACAACGAATCCCGAGAATAGTTCTGTAACAAACAACAAACACATAAGTAAACTGCAGTTACTGACAGTTAAACTGGTCTTTAGGGAAGGCTGAAGCAGAAGAGTGAGGAAATAACATAAGCGACCAAATAAAATGGAGTTTGATTACAAGGAAGTAATTATTGGCTATCAGCAGAAGATTGTATAAGCTGAACTCACTGGTTTATAAACTCACCAGCTCTAAACTTGCTAATTTATGAACTCTTCACCTAGTGGATAGGGAAATCACCCAGTGTTTTGCTAGTTCTAGACATAAAAGTATAAATTGGCATCAAAAACGTTTGATGCATCCTACCAAATAGCATTCTTGATATGTGGTCTTCTGGGTCAACTGTCAAAAACCACGTCTCAGCCTCGATGCAGAGTGCTACCATCTGCCATAAGTGCCATCAAGTTGCTTGACTTCCAAACAGTTGTAGCAAGAAAAATTGCACAAATAATTTTGAACACAGTCAAACCAGAAGACCACACATTTACAACCATTGACTGTCGAATCCTCTCCAGAAAGATGACAATTCTAATTCATAACACTACAACTATAACTATAAAGTCGAAGATACATAACACTATCCAACGTTTCACCTTGTTGTATGACCGTGGCCTCGGGTGTTTCCACGGCTTGTACGGGAACCTCGGTCCCACATCCTCGGGGTCACCTCCGTTCTGTATGAAGAGCACTTGACAAGCGTAGCACCACGAGCGCACAACCACCATGACACGCGCCCCCTCCCCCATCTAACTCACATGTTCCCATCACTATAGAACAGTCACCACTCTCGACATCACTGTATCACTAAACGTCCACGGATTAGCCTTGTGTGGGTTTAAACAATTGGTAACTATTTTCTTTTCTTTTCAATATATTGTATCTATTCATGCTTTTGGTATTTCTTTTTGTTTTACGTTAGGGAACTGTACAGTCCCTTGGTTGGTTACTATCTACATATCATTGACCATCATTAGTTAATTAATATCCCAACGATGAATGACATCTGGGTTGGAAGGATCTTGCTTGGAATGGGATCAGCGACCTTCAGTTTGAAGGCGAGTACTTTAACACTATAATTATGCCTTGTCTGGTTATAAGGAATTTTTAATTAAAATTTGTTTTACAATTAATCTAAGTCAAGCGCTTAAGCTATCTAAACGTAAACTATTTACCGTGTGTTAACTTTGGGATGTAATTCTTATTCTTATTAGTAATCAACTTAAGTTTTATTTTTATTTTGTGTACACCTGATCTTATCACCGACCCTTTAAAGGGTAGCATTTGAAAGCAAAATGACAAACGGCATCAGAATTGAACCAGTGATCTTTAGATTTTAAGGTGTGTACTTTAACCACCCAGCTAACTAAAAAAAAACACTTTTACCACCAAATGAAAATTGCTTAATCTCATTAATCAAAAGCATTACATTCGATGATCCTTCAGTAAACATTGTATTTTATGAAAATGCCAAGAAGACTTTTATTTAGAATTTAAAATTTCCTATCACACGACACCAAGCTCAAAAAAGATCTAATAACAAATGGCTGAAATATAATGATTTTTAGTTAAAAAATTAGGCATACCCAGACTTGCTTAACCTTAAAGACTACACATTTTAAAATTTGGTAAATTTTAAGCTTTGTAGCTTAACATATTTTAAACCGAAATATTATTTAATATTAACACTGTTCAGTTTGGAAAATAATTCACCATAGAAATATTTGGGAAAAAACTAACCTTTCAACGGTGTCTAGTGCCTAAAACAAACACCACTAATTGTTCTCTACTAAAATATAACTCCTATGAACTTACAGAGCAAGACAGGCTTACTTTGACTTATAGCGAAACCGTTAATTAAAATTAACAACATAACTACATAGAGAAACTATCAGTTGAACACACTCATGTTTAAAATATGGTAAACCGGTATTAAATCTCCAACGCAGATAGCTGCATGCATAAATGATCTGAACATTGATTACTGATTGACGGTTTATCGAAAGGTAAACAGTGAGTAATCAATCTTAAATTGTCACTGGAAATGTAAAACAGAGAATGTAGTAGACAAGATGTGGAGTGTACAAACATGGAATGTTGTGTGTAGAATGTAGGTCTTCTAAAATGTATGTTTTCTACGGTTTAAATAGTGGCGGCTCTAGGCTCTCTACTGCAAAAGGCCCTAGGAATGCAACACCTACTTCATAATAATATCTAAGGCAAAACTTTTATATTTATATTATGCTAAGTAAAATTTATAGAGTACAAACAGACAACGCTTTTGACATGTACACAGTGAGTATAATGTAATGTAGGATATATCGGCTATAGCCACAGCCTTGGCTTCACGTACATTCCGTCACAAGGCCGACAGAACTGAGCCACAAGTCATCCAACTGCATATGGCACTTACTGCTATAATTAGAACGAGAATCAACGGAAATAACGAAGTGTCATTGCAGTTGAAACATTCTAGGTAGAGTTTTGAAAAGTTGTGCAATGTAAATAAGTGAAGAAGTTAATATTCTCTTAGGAATCTTGTAGGATTGAAAATTTTGTCGTGTCAATAGAGGGTGAAAATGTATACGAATATTGTTATTTCCGAGATCACTGGCAAAGAAATCTTCACTATTTGCAAGCGTACAAGAGTGTTACGATCGTATCTGTAAACAATTCTTTACAATAACAATTTCGTAGTGTCAAGAATGAACAAATGTATAGGCAAATACTTTTATTTCTCAAGAACGCTGGTAAAAAAAATGTTTAATTTTTGCATTAGCCTTCTGTAATTTTAACACATATTTCCACAAAAACCATACAAAAGTTTTACGGTCGAGTCTACATGTTATAATAGGAAAACTCCAAGAAGTTTGTTTATGTGGAAAACTTAACCAATAACAAAGTTATCTTCGCGTTTTTAAACTTTTTTTTCTTTTTTAGGGGTTTTTATTTCAACTACTATTAATGCACATTCGTAATTTTCCTAAAGTGTATTTTCTTACCACAACACGATTTGTATACTTGCCAGCTTATATATTCCTTCCCATTAAAGGACATGATTCAGATTACAGCCATGTTTCACAAATTAGAACCGCAACAACCCTTTTTTAAACCAAATAATCTACCCCGTCACAAACAAATGAATACAGCAAAACCGGAAAATCCAACATCTCCCAAACCCTTTAAATGATTTCGGCAACACGCCGTTAAATAATCAGTAATCGGTGGTTGCATCATAGTTTCCGACTTGTGTAAACGCACATTCCGCGATCAGCATTAACATACGCGATATGTCCGGCGACCTCTTACAGGAATGCCGCCTGTTGTAACACTGTTACATCACAGCTGATCATCGCCCGCCGTCCACTTTTGATCACTATCACGAAACGAAGAATGTTTAAGTATCCTCCACCTCGCTCCCAACAGAATTGATGAGGAAGACAGTGATTTGGGTTGATTGCTAGTCTATATTTAGCCTAAATAATCTTCGTTTAAACGTTAGAGGGAAAATTTACTAATATTGGCTATTTATCAAATTTATGTTTAGTCTTAACAGTTCATCGACGCATTTTTTTTACGACATGTGTCACTAATACTTTAGCATAAGGCAACACAACACACACACAATACACTGTAAATTGTTTTCCGATGTCGATAAAAACGCAACAAAAAACCTTAAGAGCAGGTAAATTGGACATGAAAACCTATATAACCGGGTAAGCATATTACACAAAATATCAAGACCCGAATGAACAATCTGAATCTTCTTTGCATTTATTCTTTCAAGGGTCTTTCCCAACAAAATTCTTCTCACTTGATAAAACGCTTCTTTTTGTTTCTTGAAAGATTGAACCTACAGACCCAAGTATGGGAACTGAACCACCTCGTAGGCATCAGCACATACAGTACATAAAAACATTTATGATTGGCAGCATTAGAACCCATACCCCAAGAGCAGAAGTCCTGCTCTAAAGACTAGATCAACCACATATCTATTTACCTATATCGGTATCACTCGTCAGTGGACATGTGTGTGATTGTTGTGTACGCACTAAGAAGTGACAGTCTTCGCCTTGACACACTACTAGTGTCAGGCGTATATGGTGAGGCAAGGCCACGACACCGGCCACTGACTGAGCCATCTGGTGTAGTGACCGGCGACTCCGTCGGGCATAACTCCGAAAAGCTTTCGTCCGAAAATATTTAGATACAGTATTTTTATGCGAATATGGGGACGCAAGGCCACGACCCTGACTGGCTGAACCATCTGGTTTCGTGACCGGCGACTCCGTCGGTAAAAACTCCGAAAAGCATTGGTCCGAAAATATTTAGATATTTACATTCAGTATATGGAGGTAATGCCACAACACTGGCCGCTAACTTAAACATGTGGTGTAATTAATTACCAGCGGTTTCGACAGGCATAACTCCAAAAGCCACAGCTCCGAAAATAGTTTATAAAAGACAGTGCTCCGAAATAATTATATGTAGACGTTTACATTGAGTTTAATTAGGAGGACATAGCTCTTTAAAAACGCACCAAAATGCACGACCTCTACTCCGAAAAATAATGCAAGGCTATGGTACTGTTCGTTTATACATAACTCCAAGAAAAGTCACCCGTTCACAACAAGTGTGTGAAGCATTTCACTCTTGGGTTGGTGAAGCAAGGAGAAGACCAAAACGTACTACCAAGTCAACAACCTTACTCTTCGGCAGGATTTTGGTGACTGCTAAATGGTCAGGATGGCGGAGAAGGCCCTGGAAAGACATGATGAATTGTAGGAAAACTGAGAAGTTCTTATGTGATAATCTACAATAGATTCTCGAACAAGAAGGATTCGTCTCTAGAAGCCAAACAAACAAGTAGAATAAAATCAGATGAAGCACATCAGTACATCAGTAGCAGCAAACGTGAACAACAACCCATAAACAAGGGGTATTGTCCATCTTATTCAAGAAACCCCAAAAACCTTTTGAACACAAATAGTAAAATTT